ATCTCATCTGTATGTCATTGGTTAGACAAGTGCCAAACTGTGACTTCTGCTTTACTGCTAAACGATTTTGTTTTTGTTACCCCCAATACCCTCCCACCATCTCATTTGTCTGTTTTGTTTACTAGCTTCATCCTGTCTATCATATTGATTGTGAGGTCTTTGGGACAGGGACTGTTTTTGTTTGTACTTCGTCAAGCACATCAGGGCTCTGACCTGTTACTGAGGTTCCTAGGTGCTACTGTAATTTAAACGATTAATAATAATCCTATCCGGCTGCTGTAGAAGACTGCTCTGCCTGTCTGAGGGAGAGGAAGGGCATTCCCTATTTTCTGCATACATGGGTGCGCTTAAATTTCTAGTGGCTTGGCAGATTACTGGTTCAATTTGTATTACTCCTGTTAAAGTATAAGGAATCTCTCAAAGCTGAAGGCATTGTTTAAATAAACTGTGGAAGAACACCTGTTCATTCCAGAAGTGATTGTTCTGTGTGGCCACATTGAGATTATTTTGCCTTTGAACATTTCTGTGACATAGGCTAGCAGGGGCGAAACACTGAAACAGATTTGGATCATATCCATTGTATGTATCCTGTGTCTGAAGCAGTGTGGGAACTATATTCACTTACTGTTAAATTAGTGCTGTGTGCTTTGCTTGGGACTATACATTCAAGCCATATGGAAATTGCAACTACTGAAGAATATTGATACCCACTTCTTAGTGATGTTTCATGCACAGAGCATGTTATACCTGTGCTGTATGTTCTTTTAGCTAGCAGTTGATTTCTGAGTGAAGTTAAGGTATTGGACCTGATCTATAAGGTTCTAAATGGCTAGGGTATTTGTTACCTGAGAGACCTTCTCCACTTGTGATTCTGTGGCTGTTGTGGTCATCTGAGCTTCCCTATCTGATGATGATCTAGTTTCAATGGACTGGGCTGGCAACAGTGCAGTCCCAGCCACCCTATTTGTTCACCCGCAACCTAGATTTTGGAAGATGCATTTGCTCTTCCAGGCTTTGTTCTGTTTATGGAGGAAGGGGTTGATTGGATAGTTGAATGATGGCCTGAAGGGGTCAGGACGGGATTCCTCCCCCCTCTTCCCAATGTATACTGTTTGAATCTTTTTTGTTTTGTTTTATTACCTCCTTTCTCTGAAGCATCATGGATGGCCACAGCTGGAGATGGGACGTTGGACGGGGAGGGCCAGGGATCTTGGGTGGCACCAAGCAGTCTGTCTCTCAGATGTTTGGTTTGCTGGTTCTTGCTCATGTGCTCATGGTCTAATTTATCACCGCATATGGGGTTGGGAAAGAATTTCCTCTCAGGTCAGATTGGTAGTGATTTTGAGGGGGATTTTGCTTTCCTCTGACGGGTGTGGGTCACTTGCCAGGATTATCTGGGTATTTTTCACCTAATTATTTCCCTGCTGTTGCAGGGGCCTCTGGCATTGATGCACCTCGGTCCTTTCTATTCTCTGCCTGTGGCACGTAATAATCTAGCCGAGGGGTTCTCACATTTTTCCTAAATTTCCTAATTAATTTTAGGAAAAACAAATAAATATGCACATATACATGTCCAAATCATTGTAATTTATTTATGTAAGGTTTTTTTTGCAGACTCAATAATAAAAATGTACAGTTGTCTCTATTCTTTACTGGATCTAAACAGAATAGAGACATAATAAGCTGATTTGCATGTTCTTGTCTTTTTTGTCATTGTTTCTTTTGCTTTCTTGGTTGCTTTTGTTTCTCCTGAAGGGGGCAGGGCCCAACCCCTGCTGATGGCCCTGGAGCAGGGGCTTCTGCTTTGCGCAACCTCTCCTCCCCCAAATCATGGACCAGGAGGCTGTGGCTGCAAGAAAAGCCGCTGGTGGCCACGTTTGAGAAACACTGGTCTAGTTTCCTGTGGACTGTAACATTTGTTCTAATTTCAGTTTAGTGTATGGGTGGTGGTATGATATACTGAAGATGATGGTGCTCTCTTCTGGCCTTAAACTCTGATTCTATGGAATTCATTTTGTAATCTGGAGGAGTTTGTTTGTGTTACTATTTATTTACTTAGGACGTATTAAGAGGTTTACAAATCCTTTGTATGTAAATATCAGAAACAAAACAATAATTGCCACAGGAAGCTTTTGTTTAAAGAGAGATTATACAGTAACACAGTCATCAGATTGCTTTAACCGAATGTTGACATATTACAGAGTGAGCATCATTACAATATGTCATGTCATTTCTACTAATTTATTAAATTGAGTGAAATCTCTGATTGCACATATTAAACAGACCCGGTATGTCTACTGAATATTAATATTCCAAAAAATTGGACAGGTTTTGTTGTTGTTTTTTTTTGCAGGTGAATCGTACTTTGTCTATTGAGTAAGTGGTGACCAAATATCTAAATAGTTGTTTGGCTTCTGTCTATTTTGCTGGGCACATGATACACTGGAGAGGGTATTTTTAGAAGTCTATTTATTTCCCCTAAATGTCAGCTAGACATGATTTGATTTTGTTTGTTTTGTAACACACTTGGGGAATTTGGTAAAATTGAAAAATCTAAAGAAGAAATTGAATTTTCCTGCTTTGGATTCTCTTCTTGTGCATGAAAAGGTTAAAATGTGTAGTAACTGCTGCTTGTCATTGCACTAGGTGTGCCACTTGGGTGCCTCCTCAGTTCTTGGCAGTCTGCCTAGAATGTTGCAGGCTGGGAAGAGTGGAAAGCCAACACTGAAGCTTGTTTTTACTTGATGGTAGCTGCAGAGGGTGGGGGAGATTGTAAATTAGACATTCCCTTTGCTTGCTCCCCTGGGATAATGAACTGCTTATTGTGCTCTTCCTCAAGAAGCTGTGAATGGAAGTTTGTCCCATATCAAGAATCCAAGAATGGGAATTTGCAGTTCTGCATGGCCACTCGTCTGTAGGGAATTCACAGATTCATAGATTCTAAGGACAGAAGGAATCATTGGGATCACTTAGCCTGATCTTCTGTATAAGACAGGCCATAGAACTTCCCCAAAATAATTCCTAGAGTAATTTCCTTTTAGAAAAACATCCAGTCTTGCTATTAAAATTGTAAGTGGTGGAGAATCCACCACAACCCTTGGGAAATTGTTCCAATGATTATTTACCCTCACTGTTTAAAGTTTATGCCTTATTTGCAGTCTGAATTTGTTTAGCTTCAACTTCTGGCCATTGGGTCATGTTGTACTTTTCTCTGCTAAACTGAAGTGACCACTTTTAAATATTTGTTCCCCATGCAGATACTGTAATCCAGTCACCTCTTTTTTGTCAAGCTAAATAAATTGAGTTTTTTGAGTCTGTCACTATACAGTATATTTTCTAATCCTTTGATCATTCTCATGGCTCTTCTCTGAACTATTCCAATTTTTCAACATCCTTCTTGAATTACAGATTCATTAATTTCAAGACACTTTGCTTTTTTGATGGGCTGCATGGGATGGTCTCTCCAGTTGTCACTCAGATGCAGGAACACAAGAACACTTCAAGCCTTCTTCTGCCAACGATAAATGCACTGAGGCTGCTGTGTTAACAGGGTTGTCATGAAAGAAAGATCAAGTTCTTCAAGTGATTGTCTGCACAGATTCTACTCTTGGTGCACATGTGCCTCATTTGTATGAGATCAGATTCTTATGACTAGCAGTGTCTTTTGGGGCCACACCTGTGCCCTGAGTGCCATCCCGTCTCCCATAGCTGAGAGCAGCGGTTCTCAGACTTCATTGCACTGTGACCCCCTTGTCACAGCAAAATTTCTACATGACCCCAGGGGCGGGGAGGAGTCCAAGCCCCGCTGCCCGAGGTGAGGGGGCCAGAGCCTGAGTGCCGTGGGTGTGGGGGAGGGGGCCAGAGCCTGAGTCCCGCCGCCCCGTGTGTGTGTGTGCATGCATGCACACGCGCACTCAGGATTCAGCTTCCGACCCTGGTCCCAGTAAGTCTAATGATGGCCCTGGTGACCCCATTAAAATAGGGTTTTTACCCACTTTTTGTGGTCCTGACCCACAGTTTGAGAACTGCTGGCTGAGAGCGTAAAGGATGGAGCATCCTCAACCAATACTCAGTTCTTTCTTTCCAACTGTGGCTCTGATATGGAACCCCTGCATCCCTTGCTCTCAGGCCCTCTCCGCTTCGAGCCACTTCCAGCTTTTGAGGTCCCTAGCCATAATAAAAATACAAAATGACGACACATGAAAACAAAATAAGGCACCAGAAAGAGAGTGAGACATAATTTGAATATTTTTTTATTTAACAAATGCTTTTTTAGCCTTTTTCTGTGCAAATGCACTAATTATTGAGGAAAAATGTAGCTTTCTTGCAATGTCACAGTTGATATTAAGCATGGCGAGTCCATTCAAACACCCTTGTCCCACAGTTGAACGGTGATAGTTCTTTACCTGCTTCAGCACGTTGAAGGTGCGTTCACCTGAAGCCACTGATGCAGGCAAAGCGACAAAAATACGCAATGCAATTGTGACACTAGGAAACACCATAGAGAGTCCAAGTTTGAGTATTTCTTGAAGCAATTCCTTTGGCTTGCAATCCAATTTAAAGTTTGTGGAATATATTCGTTTGAGGAAGATGACCTCCTCACTGAGTTCTTTGGAGATTTTTTTTGTTGTACTGTTGCTGAAATTGTTCAGCTGCAGAAAGTAGATCTTTATTACTCGGTCTGTTGAACTGCCAAAGAAACCCAAAAAGGGTACAAATTAGTCGCAGTGACTCAAATTGACGTGTAGGACCTGATTGAATAAAGGCATTGGTGACAAGAAAGACATTGACCCTATAATGCTGCTCGGCATTGGATTCAGTAGGTAAGTTGCGATTACATCAGTGCCTAATACATAAATCATACAATGGGAAAAGATGTGGCAGCAGCAACACTGAACTTGCTCAGAAAATGAGCAGCTAATGTCCCCCGAGAGGAGAGTAAATGGAACACATCATAAAAGCTCTCAAATGACCCACTCCTGTCCTTTTTACATTTTCAGATGGATGGAGGCCTGCCTTAATGAGGATCTACCTCCCACAACAGAGCTGGAGGAGGGGCTAAGGAATGGAGTCTATCTAGCCAAACTTGGAAACTTTTTCTCCCCCAAGGTGGTGTCTCTGAAGAAAATCTATGACCGGGAACAAACCAGATATAAGGTGAGATCTCTCCGTTCTGGGAACTAGGTTGGCTAGAGAGACCTGAGATAGGAGGGAGACTTCAGGTCATATGGTTGTAGAGGAACTGTCAGTGAATGAGTGAGTAATTGTGGCAAATTTAGACTGAAAAAATGTAAGTTAACTCTTCCTGAACTATAGAATATCAGATGAAGGAAGATCTTTAGTTTTGTCTGAGTTTGTGTGCATATGAGAATCTGAGAAAGCTGGCCTTTTGAAAGCGTTAAATATAACTGGCTGTAGAAAGCTTTCATCATAGTACCTAAGACCTCAGATCCCTGGAAGAGTTTAGCTGTTGTAAGTAGCACTGATCAGATGCATGTCTTAGCAAAGTTCCCTAGTACTCACAGTGGCTGTGATGATTCATATGCTTTTTTCCCTCCCCCTCTTTATTTCAGGCAACTGGTCTCCATTTCCGGCATACTGATAATGTTATTCAGTGGTTGAATGCCATGGCTGAAATCGGCCTCCCCAAGGTAATTTCTGCACTGCAACGCCAGGCTTTGAAAGTTGTGGGATGAATTTGCCAGTACACAGGATTCAATAAACTCTGCCTATCCTATATATCTATATTCTCCTCTTAGTTATCCTATATATCTATGTATAGATAATCCTTAGTTTCCTAGATTTGGTTCTCCTTAGAAATCCTGAAGTTTAAAATATTCCATTCCCATCCCTGTTTGTATGACTGGGAGGCAGTGAATTCCTGCTTCAGAACCATATGCTTAACACTCATTATTTTGGGTGAGATCTGCAGTACAAAATTTTTATTTTTCATTCTGTTGAGCAGCATGCCTGAGCTACGGTTTGGTCATGGCAATTTTTAGGAATCATCATAGGAAAATCATGGATAAAAGGAGCAACAGTTGTTGGAAGTGGTGGATTTTCCATCTCTTGTGGAGAAGTGGTGGATTCTCTGTCTCCTGAAGTATTCAAATCAAGTCTTCTGGAAAGATGCTTTAGTTAAACACAAATTATTGGCCTAAGAACAGGGGTAACTGGGTGGAATTCTATGACCTGTGTTATACAAGAGGTCAGACTAAATGATCACCATGGTCCCTTCTGGCCTTAAAATCTATAAATCTTTGGGAACATTGTACTGAAAGTCAAACCATGAGCGTAGATTTATACACAAAACAACTTTTCCTCATGCTTTTATTACATGTAACAGGAACAGTCCATGTGTTTAATCACACAAGGGTCACTATTGTATACCTCAACCTGCTGTCTGCATTTAAAAAAAATACTCACTTGAAAATGTTAATTTTAGAATTTTGTCAAAATTTTCCACCCAACTCTCTCCTGACTTATCAGCTGTGCTATGCATGAACTCTTGGTGATCTAGAGGAGCAGATTGAGCAGCAGGAAGTATAGGAATGGGCTCTGGGGGAGAGATGGTGCTCTGGGTGAGAAGAGAGAGAATGTGGGGGACAGGTGGAGAGAAAGGGACTTGGGTCAGGCAAGAGGGCTTGAGTAAGGCATTGAGGAAATGGAGGGAATATATCAGCAATATGTTGACTACTTGTGGAATACTGTGTCCAGTTGTGGTGCCCACAATTCAAGAAGAATGCTGATAAATTGGAGAGTGTTGAGAGAAGACCCACAAGAATGATTAAAGGATTAGAAAACATGCCTTATAATGATAGATTCAAGGTGCTCAGTCTGTTTAGCTTAATAAAATAAATAGAAGGCTGAGGAGTGATTTGATTTACAGTCTATAAGTATCCACAGGGAGAACAAGTATTTAATAATCTCTTATCTGGCAGAGAAAGGTCTAACATTCAATGGCTGGAAGTTGAAGCTAGATAAATTCAGACTACAAATAAGGCATAATTTTTTTTTAACAGCAAGAGTAATTAGCCATTGGAACAATTTGCCAGGGGTCATGATGGTTTCTCCATTACTGACCATTTTAAATCAAGATTGGGTGTGCTCATAGGAGGTCAGACTGTCATAATGGTCTATTCTGGCCTTAAAATCTATGTAGTGACATCTTCCACATTAACCCTTTAAGGGGCCTGACTTTCAAAAGAGCTCTGGATCCGAGAATGTGATAATAGAAACCGCTGGGGATGAACAATTAAAAATATGGCCCCCAAAGTTTGTTGAAAAATATGGCCTCGGGTGCCTTGCAGCACAACACTATCTTTACCACTCTCCTTAGGCCACTCACACATAGTCCCCTTCTGCCCATCCAGTCCAAACAAAATCCTCTTCCCCAACCCCTCATGTAAATATCCCTGCTCATCTCTTGGCTCCCTCAGCATCTCCAACCCATTTCCCCAGATACACCACACAGTATGTCTGTGGGGAGCCAGTGTGGGGTGGTCATGTAAAAGGGGCATGGGGTTGAGCAGGGGTGTGGATGTGAGAGTACATGTAAGGGAAGTGGGGAACAGGTTTCATGGTAGACGCATGGGAGAAATATGGAGCTCTGTTGTGCTCCATGAATTACCTATCTCATAACTGGGCTGGAGCAGTTTTAGGATTGTCAGAATCCTTCCTACTTGGATGGCTAGAGTGGGGTATTATTCTGATGGTTAACTTTGTTTATATTCAGATTTTCTACCCAGAAACTACTGACATCTATGATCGGAAGAACATGCCACGCTGCATCTATTGTATCCATGCACTCAGGTAATGTGTGTTAGGCAGGAGGCTGAATTGTGAGTGAATGAATTGTGAATGCATGAAGGCTACCTAGAAATCTGAAGTCTGTGGGAGTGCGAATGCATTCTGATTCAGAGTTGGTGGGGGTGAATGTACTGTGGGCTTAAAGGAAGGTCTGCAGCTTCCAGGAGTGGCATCTATGAAATTATGAATGCATTGATGTTTCCAGGGATAAGTGCTATGCATGTTTAAGAGTGAGTGAGATCACCAGCCATTGGAGGCAGCATATATATCTTAGGATTCCTAAGCCTTAGAGATGGGGTGTGTACAGCTGTGAATCTCCTTCCTTGGGGATTGTGTGTTTACGTGCATATTTTGTGAATCATGGTTTCCAGAGGAAAGCAGTGTACTCAGAGCTTTCTGAAGATGTGTGAAGTATAGAGTGCCCTACCCCAGGGAGGCATATGTAGTAGGTTCCACTTAATAGCGACCTGGATATAAACAACTTACAGTTAATAGCAACGTTTTGCTGGGAACCAATCCCACCCCATTGACTTTCATATTAATGGGATCCGGATATTGGCAACAGCATGCCGCTTATTCACAAGGTCTTTTGGAAGAAAGGTTCTACTTGTAGGCAGGTTTGTGGGGCTGCAGCCCCAGAAAGAAGCACTAGAATGTGCTGAGCACCCCTGCAGGCAGGTCTGTGGGACTACAGCCAGAGAAGAAAGTGCTGGGACCTGTCTTCCCTGGCTGCAGCCCCACAAACCTGCCTGTGGCCAGTACTTAGCCTGTCCCAGTGCTTCTCTCTGGGGTTGCAGCCATGGAAGCCTGCCTGCACAGGAGGTAGGGGGCTGGGAGGGGAGAGGAGACTGTCATCAAAGCAATAGTGGAGGGTGGGGAGGAGGCAGCAGTCTGGAAAACCTGCCTTTGCACAGGCTCTGCACAGGAGGTAAGAGGCTGTGGGTGGGAAGGAGAGGGGAGGGAAGGCTGTGGGCAGAGCAGTAGCTGGAGTGAGAGGAGCAATAGTCCTGATGCTGGAACTGCATGGTACCTCTCCCTGTGCTCCTCTGGGAGACTCCTGAGAGACTTCTCTGGGAGACTCTGCATACGGAAGGAATTGCTGTGATGTGTGGAGAATGCGGGGAAAGGTATCATGCAGCTCTGTGGGCCCTCAGAGCCCCCACTCCCCTTGGAAAGTCCTGGCATCCAGACTGCAGCCCCCATCCCTGCTGCTGTCCTGCCCGCAGCCAGGTTTGCAAGGCTGCAGCCAGGGAAGTGAAGTTCTGGCACTTTCTTCTCTGGCTGCCGTCTCACAAACCTACCTTCCACTTATTAGCAGCTGCTGGATAATAGCAACTTTTTGTTGGCTACCAAGGGGTTGCTCAATAAGTGGAATCTACAGTATTTGTGTGTCCATAAAAGGCAATCGAGATAGTATTATATTATGTATTGTCCTGCCACCAGATCAGGAATGGACACTAATAACAACTGGTCATGAGGATGAAATCCCAAACATAGTGTGAAGCGCTGTCCTGGGTGTGCTTTAAAGGGTTGCTCTTCCCACCCCCACCCTCACTTTGGCCACACTTGCATAGCTTGTCACGCTAATAAAATCTCACTGAATTGAAAATTTTAAAGGGTCTGAACATACTGTGGGTGTTCAGAAGCATGAGTATGCATATGCCCTACTCTCTCTCATATGATGTATGTTTACTTCTATAATGGTTCTAGATTTTCACTGTTGTGTGCACTGTCTGAATCTGTATCTAGAGCTGCAGTGTGAGATGCAGAAGGGAAAGTGACAACACTAATTTTCACCTACTAATGAACTATGAATTTCAGTTTATGTCTGAAGAGAATAGGTTCAGGCTTGTTTGTTCAGCTGAGCAGCAGGTAGAGAGTAAGGTGAGGTTGGCCTTTTGTGTGCAGCATGTTTATTTTTAGGATAAATCAGGGAGGCTTTTGGGGGCTTTGTGAAAAGCCATGTAAAGCTTTAAAATCCTTTCAGAGGCTCCGAGGGATAATCTCTCACCTCTCGAGGTAACTAGAAAGATCCATCTGGCTGTGCTAGCTACTTCTGTCTTTGCCTCATTAGTGTGTGTTGAAGTGGATAGTTTTGCTGCCGCTTCATGCTCCAGAGAGACAGAGCATTGCATTGCAGTGACTTAGTCTTTCCTGATTAAACCAGTTTGGATGCAGGTTTCCAATCTGATGGCAGACAAATATTTAGTGGGCTTCACATGAAGAATGCTCCTTAAGACATTTCTGTGTATAGAGCACTGAGCCATATCAGTTTTGGTCTCCATCTTATGCTTACTCAGTTTTAGTCCTCAAGAAGGAGCTTGTTCTTTTGCTTCTGATCCTTTGGCAGGGTGAAATCTGAGGATGAAACATCCAAATAGATTGCAAATAGCTGAACATCAACAGAAGTTTCAAGCTGTTGTAGAATCAGATTCTTTGTAGAAGTGAACCTGCTTTCAACTCAGTTCCCAACATTTAGTATAACTTGTGGTCAGGAACACTTGGCATTGTGTGATGGCCAATTATGGAACTGTGTAGCGTATGCTCCTTTGACCAGTATGAAAGGAATTTGGGTCATTGTTAGTGGCGAAGTTGCTCCTTACTGGCAGCTTCACGATAGCTGCTGCAGTTATTCTTTGAGTAGTTGGACTCAGCTGGCAGATGTTCACATCTCCTTGTCAGTCTGGTCCTCTTTGCCAGTGATGTGTAAATCAGAATCCAGATATTCAGAATGAGTCAGGTTTTTGCTGAAATATAAATAATGGGCAACATAGAGGTCTCCAAGAGTAAAGACTTGTCTATGCGGGGACACTCAGGAAAGTTAATTTGAATTAACTAAAAGTGTGAATTTAAAATGGATAAGTTAAATTGCATTAAACCCTGGTGTTGACGCTTATATTCAGAATTAGAGTGGCCTTAATTCAATTTAGCTTACTTCACTTTGCAATCTCAACCCTATAGGCACCAGCACACCTTGCAGTTACCTAGTGCAGTAAGGAATATACAAATGTTCTTTACCACCCTAGGTAGCTGCATGGTGTGTTTGTGCCTGTAGGGTTTAGCTCTGTGCTGATAACCAACAGAATAAAGCAAATCTTTGGTAGGAAGTTACCCAGATGTGCAACCAGATGTCTGCTGATCAGAAGGGAACTTTTAAATCCAGAGCTCCTAAACCATATGGATCTTTCTTTCTGGGGAGGGGCTTATTGTTTTTTCATGGTGACATTCCTTCATACACAAACGCTTCACTGGGAGAATCAATCACCATCACAATTGAAAAGGCAGGTTTTAACCATCTAGAAGTCTTTCCACTTAGCCTAATGTCTATATCTCCCTTAATTTACTTGTGAGTGGGGTAAAGACCACAAGGAGTAATTAGTGCTAATTATTCCTGCATTATGTTTCCTAGTCTGTACCTGTTTAAACTGGGACTGGCCCCTCAGATTCAAGATTTATATGGAAAGGTGGACTTCACAGGTATGGAGATTTCTTGCTTTTCTGAGATTTAGATGTTTATGAATTTGCATGCCCTGTTTACTCACTCCAGTAGATGCTGTACATAATGGACGAAAGGGGATTAATGCCCAAAGGCAGCCAGGGCTGTAACTGCATTTGTGTTTAATGGGTGCGGGATTCTTCCCATACAAGTTGGGGAAGGAGACTTTTAGGAGGAAGTTTTATTCTGAATTCTTTAGTTACTGGCTCTGTTAACAGTAGTATGTCTCCACTGTCTCTCCCTCCCCTTCCCTTGGCTTTAGTCTTTTTCCTTCCAGTGCACCAGCTGCAGAAGAAAACAAACTTTTGTAGGATGTTGTATATTTACTTTCTTTGCCCTGCTGGCAGCCATACTTTGAGACATGCAAGAATCACACAATCTGTTTCAAACCTGTGTCATTAAGAGCACAAAACTATGTAGTGAGACAGATTTCTGTGAGGCCCTCCCATTTGAATGATTGGAACAAATATAGGAGAGTTTTGTCTCTTCTCAGACTGCATGCACAAAGTATTTGTGAAAGGGCAATTTACAATCTATTGTAGCTGTTCCAATTTTTCTGCAGCAATAGCTGGTCTTAGGGCTGATTCTGAATGTTCTGCCTACATTACATCTTTTTCCTCTGTGTTTCAGAGGAGGAGATCAGTAACATGAGGAGTGAGCTGGAGAAGTATGGAATTCAGATGCCTGCCTTCAGCAAGATTGGAGGAATTTTAGCTAATGAACTCTCTGTGGATGAAGCAGCGTGTAAGAGGAAATGGATTTTCATCCTCTGTGACCGTTTATATGGCCAGATTGGATAGAAAGTGCATGTTATAATCTAGCTCTAATAGTCCCTATTGTTTAAGTCAACACAGGCCTTTTATGGCCAAGATATTTTTGTTAGAAAATCTGAATTTGATTTGGTCAAAATCAAACGGCGATATCAGGAAATAAGGTACTACCTGTGTCAAAAATACAAAGTCTTACTTACAGTTTATATACTGATAATTCTTGAAACAATGTCAAAGACCTAGTCAGCTGTTTTCTTCTTTCCCAGATAAGCCTTTAATTTATTACAGGGCAGAGCAGTCATCTTTGCAGTTAACAGGGAACCTGTGATTTGTTTTTCAGTGCATGCTGCTGTTATTGCCATTAATGAAGCAATTGACCGCCAAGTTCCGTCTGACACCCTGATGGCAATGAGAAACTCCAATGCCATGTTGGTGAATCTTGATGAACTCCTGGCATCAATCTATCAGGACACATTGTACCGGGCAAAGAAGGACAAGATGGAGAATGCCAAAAACAGGGTAAAAATCAATGTTCCTGTCTAGTTACGAATTCATGTTCATTGTGTCGAGTTCATGATGTCACCAGAGGAGATTGCCCATAGAATCCAGTGAAAACATGTTGTTCAGTCTTTTGTGTAAGATGTTAGGCCAGATTTATCCTTAGTGAAATTCCACTGTAGTCTCCAGGGATTCATTTGATGTATTATGAGATGGAAGAAAGCAGACATTATAGTGTTAAATCTGATTTGTAATTGAATCTCTTACACACAGATTCCCAAGGAATATGCATGGTGGAAGAACATAGAGGAGATGTCTTATTCTAGACATCAGTAAAGCCTGTCCTATTTTTATAGAATTTTTGAGTCTTTCTAATGTATATATGAAACAAACCCACCATCCCACAAAGTTTGAACTAGTTCTAGAATTTCACCTAGACTAAACTTGCTTCATGAATCTGCAAGTCTACCTAGGCTGTGAGTAATCCTACTGTATGGAGGCTGATATTTACAAGCACTACACATCCAAGTCTAAACACTGTGGTCCCAAAAGCTTGTGAGCATATGGTATGTTACTTTGTAAATTAATCTGTTTATAGAATTCTATCCAAACTATCTGTCTGCTGCTCTCTGCCACAGTGATAGGCAAATTAGCAATACTTAGATATATGGCCTGTTCTGGAATATCATATCCATTTATTTGGTTTGGAACATTCCCAGTTTGAGAACCTGTATGTGTCTGCCTAACTGGATCTACTGCATCATATGTCCTGGAATTCCTTCTGTGTGCCCACACAGAGCTGTTAAATGAAATCATCCCGTCTTATGTATTGTGTGTCCTTCTCTGTTTGCCGGAGATCTATACTCTGTGTGTATGGGCGCGCCTAGGGATATTCACTTCTAGGATTCCCTTTTATGTGTGTGTAGTTGTTGCTGACCTGTTGTGCAGTGGGTTAGAACTTCATGTGGGTGTACTTTAGAATCATAGAAGAATCTTAGTAGGTTAGGGTTGGAAGGGACCTCAGGAGGTCATCTAGTCCAACCCCCTGCTTGAAGCAGGACCAGTCCCCAATTTTTACCCCAGATCCCTAAATGGCCCCCTAAAGGATTGAACTCACAACGCTCGGTTTAGCAGGCCAATGCTCAAACCACTGAGCTATTCCTCCCCCCCCCATTAGTGAACATTAGTTATGTTCACTGCCCTTTCTGTTGGAGGACTGTAAGAGGCCTGTAAACAACACACCACAAAGTCTGCTCTAGAGTTGCATTGATGATAATTTTGTTTCATTGTCAGACTGCCTCTGAGAATTCAGAGAGAGAGAGGGATGTGTACGAAGAGCTGCTGACTCAAGCTGAAATTCAGGGCAATGTCAACAAAGTCAATAGTAAGTTTCCCACTGAACTAATAGGCCTGGATAAAGAGTATTCAGACTTGTGTGGCTCCTTTACTCCTCCTTCCATCCCTGCACTTTGAACTAAGTGAGTAGCTCTCCTTGCTATATTTGTTCATAGTATTTCTCAATTTTGAATTCATCCTGCCCCTTGTCCCACCCCTGGCCCCTTAAAGAAGTGAAGGGTCCCCATTAAACTCTGTGCCCTGAGTATTACATACCATTTTCATCTCTTTTCTCTTGTTAAAGTCCTCCTGAGTGATTCTGGAGTCTGACCTGGAGACTTCCAGGCCTAAACCATCAGTCAGTAGTGTTCAGGAAGAGATGCCTTCTGAGGCCTCTGCTATAGAAGCCTAATGATCACTACATTCAGCTTTTGACCCTTACTTTACTTTGCTCTCTCCCTAGCACATTCAGCCCTATCAAAGGTAGATCTGGCTTTGGAACAGGGAGATGCATTAGCATTATTTGAAGTTTTGACATCACCATCCCTGGGGCTTCGAGGATTACAGCGAGAAAATTGTGACTGGTATCTCAAGCAGCTCTTGAGTGACAGACAGCAGAAACGGGAGGTATGGAAAAGCATATGTAATCATTGTGAAAGTATTTATAATACCACAAACCATCACACATTAATTATATGGGATGATCACAAAACTCCCATATGAGAGTTAATGTTACTTTGGAAAACTTTAATTTTGTTGAGTTTTTTGTATTTAAAAAGTAAACTTAATATTCCAATAGCATACCACATGTGCAAGAAACACTGTGATTGTGTACGTATAATGGAATACTTGATGGTATGGTGTAAAGGCTTTATCAGTGTGAGTTTGAAACAGCGGCATTACTCAGGAATGATAAATTTCACAACTTAAAGGCTGATATTTTAGGGTCTTGAAGAGTTGGGAGTGAATCCTAGGGACCCACTACAATATTGGGAAACTCTTCTATACAGTAATTTAAAGTTTGCAGATTTCAAAATAATCATATTTTTGAATATGGAAAAGCAGTGCCTAGTTCAAGACTGAATCTTGCTCATTCTGGACCTTGGACAGGTGTGATTGAGGGGGAGAGTCCACCTTTGGGAATATGGAAAGGAAGTATTTTTGTGACAGGTTTGAAGCTGCACAGGGTCTGGAACATTAGTATAGTGAAGAGTGCATGATAAATGTATTTATCACTTAGCTGTCATCACAGCATAGGAGAAGAGTGCATATAAAGTGTGTGTATATAACTATAATAATATGAATGTAAAATATAAATAAATACATAATGCATATATGTATATAATGTTTTATGCCCTCTTACTTTACTATGTTCAGTGCGCAAGTACTTTATTGTAAATATCTATGATACAGATAAGCATATGATATTTTTCCTTATAGATAATCTTTCTGTAGTTAAGGTTGAAGTTATCTTCTTATTTTAAGCCTAACCTTCAGTGAATTTTGCATGTATATTGTATATGAATGCTGTTTATAGAATGCATTAGTGTAGATTTCTAAACTTAGTAGGGCCTCAAAGTATATTAGTTTATGTAATATTTGTATGCATATTATTACAGAGAACTGCAATGGTGGAGGGGATGATTATTACTACTGTATATTTTTAATAATTTGTCTTTTACAAGATCTAACATGATAAAGAAGTAGGATACCAAGTACATTCAGAGCCAGGAATAAAGGCAACAATTCAGTTTATACAACCTGAGAATAAAGCTCTGACATTTTTGAAGTCCGTGAGCCCACAAACATTAAGAAGATAAAGATCATTATTACATTGCATAATTTTGGTTGAATCCATTGGCAACCCTCCTAAAATTGTTGAACTGTCATAGGTCTTATGGAGGGTCAACACGTTTTCTTCTTGAAGATTGATTTATTCATAATGCTCTTCACTATAGCATTTGAGTGTCTCATAGACATTAACCTATCCTCTGCCCTTAGGAGGTAGGAAAGTATTATCCCAATTTTACAGATTAAGCACTGGGTGATTTCTTGTAGGCATCCCAGCAGAAGTAGATTTTGAGGAGGGATTTGAAGGAGGACAGGGTAGTAACCTTTCAGATCTGCTCATTGAGAGCATGGAATTCCATGCATAAAGGGGCATTATGAAAGAAAAAGCAAATATGTTTCTGGGAAGAGGAGACAAGTGGGTGATCAAGACTGCCACCATTGGTGGAGTGGAGGGAGAGGAGTGGTGTTTTAAGAATGTGTGTCTTTGTGAGGGTGAGAGGTGTTTTCCCCCAGGATAGTCTGTTCTTTTCCACTTGTCCCTTCCATATGGCGCTCTTGTGGTTCAGGCTGTAGTGTCATGGAGAAGGCAGCTGGTTGCACAGGATTGTGCTCTAGATCCCAGGGGACTGTTGCTAGCTTTAATTCCAAAAAAGGGTTTACCATCCACAGCTGCTGCTGTTGGTGTTTTGGACTAACAGACCTGGATGGGCAGAGGGCTTATTGACCTGTGAAAGGAGACTCTGCCTTGGCAGAGTTTGTTGTTCAGGGTTTCCAGGAGATTCATAAATTTTGGGAAGCTATTCAACACTAGAAAGAACCTCTTAGTGAAGTAAGTAGAGACTTCTTTGCAGATATTGAAGGAAACTGAGGTTATGTCTACACTGCAGAGACTGTACTAGCCTAGCTATGTCAGAATAGCTATGCTGGCACAACCCCATAATGTAGATGCAGCTACATTGATGGAATAGGTTTCTCCATTGGTGTAGGAACATAACCTTCCTGAACAACACTAGTTACATTGATGGAAGCATTCTTCCGTCGACTTAGCTCCACCTACACTGGGGTTAGGTTGTCTTAGCTGTCTTGGTCAGGGGTGCATTTTTTTCTCACCCCTGACCGACATAGTTATGTCGACCTAACTTTTAAGTGTAGACCAAGCCTGAGACTGCTCCATGTTCTTTCTGTCCCATGTCTATCTCACAGATCTCTTGTCCTGAGGAAGGAAAGGAAATACTTCTTGTCACAGAGTGGGCTTGCCTTCTAAGGCAGTGGGACTACCTGTTCCTAATGATCTGCCTGCTCACATGATGGGTTTTGAGGCTTTCTATAATAGAGAAGAGCCTGCTTAACTTGGTAGGGGAAGAGACCTGCAAGAGAACTAGGATCAGGGAGAGACATGTAGAAGAGTTTTCCTGCTCCTGACAATAGAGCCAGATGGAGGCAGAGAGTGCTAGGAGGCTCTCTGAAGTGGGCCAAAGGAAAACAGAAAGAGAGAGAGACACATGCACAAACACAAGGAGCCAAGGAAGGGGCTGTGGAAAAGGCCTACAGGCAGGTGGAGGTGGTTGAGGGAGTTGAAGCAAGGGGTCTGAGAAGGTGAACCTCTGCTGCTTGTACAGTGTGTCTGAGCAGGAACTCAGAGTAGAAGGAGGGCTGAACCCCTACAGGCTTATTGAGGAAGGTGATGTGAAATCTTTCTCCCCCCAACATAAGGAGTGGAAGAATTTTTGAGCCTGGAGTTGGGTTGATGATCCAGCCTGAGATTGTTGAATGATTGTTTTATGATTGTTTTGGACTCTTTGTTTACTGTGGGAAAAGGGGATGGGTTTATGATTTGGCGAGAGGCCAGTAAGAAGCACTGGAGTTGGCCTAGCCAAGAGTGGGAGATTGAAATGCCTTCAGCCAGAAGAGGGGAAACTGAGGCTCAGAGCACTAGGTACCAAGGTAATCGTGTCACATGCATTTTCACAAGCCAGCATTCAGATGGATGACTAGCTTCATGAGTGCCCAGTAATTCCCAATTTGAGATATCTGACAGTGATACTGAAAGGTCTTTAGCCTTTGCAGCAAGCTCCAAGTAATATAGAATTGTTCTTCAAGTATGTGTCAGTTTGGATCCCACTCTAAGGTACATGTGTGCATGTGAGATCAGAATCTTTTAATAGCACTGTTGGGCTGTGCCTGCGCAATGTATGTCCTTGTGCCTCTGCACCCGAGGGATAAAGGGCAGAGCAGCCATAGGTGTTCCTCAGCGCTCTCACTGCTGGTGGACGCAAGATGGAACAAGTGGTGTCTTCATGCTACCCCTTAGCTGAATCTTTTTCTTGCAGATTAATTAGTTAGATAGGGTTAATTCCCTATCTATGTTTTATGTTTCCTCCTTTTTTATTTAATTGTGTTATAAACCCAAACAGATTTAAATTTAAATTTTCCTTGGCACTTGGCACCCCTATCTGGGCCAGAAATGGTGGATTCAAAGCCCTTGGGCTTCGAAGCATAGCCATCCTGCAACAGACTTATGCCATTAGCAGATGGCCACGGCCACTGTCTTTTTTTTTTTTTTTTTTTGGGTCTCAGTGAGAGCCATGTGCTAGATAGTTGCTTGGTTTGCCATTTCTTTTCTATTGGAACACTCATCTGAAGTTATATCCCTTGGAACAACCAATGAGAGAGAGTATAGATCCTGAAGAGCGAGGATTGACTTCATAGATGGATCTAGTCTCTTCTAGGTCCCAGTCAGCCAATGCCTCTGCTGGCTGGCACACAGGGCCTACTGTGTTGGTACCTGCAAAAATTGCACAGCACCATCAGGAAAGGATTCAGGACCATCAAAGACCATTTCGGTATGGACTCCCACCTCAGCACTGAAAACTGGTATGGCTTCCTTGTTGAGGCAAGGGAGATCTGAAGACTGGAATAGACATAGTTTCCTGCATTGATTTCCCCCTCTTCCCATAGAGACTCAACCCTGCATACTTCTTGACCACGTCAGCTTGCATGTGTATGACAACGCTAGCCAGATTTCACTTGTGTCCATTACAGGACTGGCTAAGATCAGTGTATCATCTCACCATCAAATGATCATGTGAGTTGTGGTCCCAGCTCACATTCTGTAGCTGCTGAACTGGTGGTCAGACCCCAAGAATATTTGGAAAAGGGTACATTTCTCTATACTTCCCCCTACAAAGACACTGATCAGAGATGCATCAGGCACAGGTTGGGGCACACACCTGGACCACTTCCAGATACAAGGAACTTGAAACCCAAAAGACATGACTCTGAACATCAGTATTCTAGAATTATGAGCAATCAGACTAATTTACATGTCATTCCAACCTGTTCCATGTTCCACTGTGCAGATTTTCACAGACAACACATTTGCAAATGTTTTATATAAACAAGGAAGCACCTGCTCATCACCTCATGTCAGGAGGCTATCAAGATATGGACATTATGTCAAAATAGGGTAACTCCAATACACTTCATCTCCAGGAGCCTCAACAGTTTAGCAGACTTCCTAAGTAGACAATCCATCATTAGCCACAAGTTGTCTCTGAAGAGCTCCATCATTACATCAGTATTTCACCAAAAGGAAAATCCTGTTATTGACTTGTTTACCTCCAGAGATGACAAAGTGTCCAGTTGTTTGATTCGAGGGGCATGAACCCAGCTTCCTTCTACGAGGCCTTTCTCATATTGTAGAAGTGAGGTCTCATGTATGCATTTCCATGGATTCCATTGATTCTCAGGGTGATAAGCGAAAATAGGCAGGAGGCAGTCATGCTAATCCTGAAGCTCCATATTGGCTGAGGCAGTTCTGATTAACAGATCTCAGGATGTCTATTTAGCCTCCTGTAACACTTCCAGACTCTCCAGATATCAAGGTCAAATTCATCTAGACAGTTGCCACATCTGACAGTCTGGCTGTTGGCAAGTTGAGTGCTACTGACAGAGATACCTCTGTACAAGTACAAGAGACCCTACTCATCTCATGGTGTCTAGATTTTTAAAGGGATGACTACATACTTACCTATATGTTAGAGAATCCCATGTAATGTGGGATCTTAATGTTGTCCTTACAAACCTCATGGAAAGAGATCCCCTTTTAATCTCTCTTGGAGTGCTTTTTACACCATCTTATTTTGAAGACTGCCTTTTTGATTAGGAGAATTCAGTCCCATTGTGCAAGTTTGGGAATTTAGCATCCTAGAAGTAAATGCAAAGAATCATCCCACAGCTCATCTTGCTTTTTCTGAAGAAGGGCAGCAATTTCTACCCTGTGGATCTGACTGCGGTTACTGGCTCATAGAGATGCTTCCCAAATACGGGAGCCTCTGAGTTATGCTATGGGAACAATACTACCAATCTTGTTTTTTGCCCTTTGGACTAGAATTTTTGCTGAATCATCCAAGCAGATCTGCCCAACCAAGGAGCGCATGTGTTCTCTTGTCAGGCTGATGTCTAATCTGTGATGTCACTTTGGTTGGTGATCTGCATCAGTATTGAACATTGCAGTTCTTAAGGTTCATAATGGACTTTCCTAACTATTAACTTCTCTCCAGCTGACAGTTGGAATACAGAGGAGCCCCACCAGAAATGAGAGTATTTGGAGATTAGGGGAAACGAATAACCATCAGTAGAAATGGTTGACTTTCATCCATGGCTAAAAACATTGCCCTTAAGAGCTGGAAAAAACCTTGAGAGCTTAGAGTTTCAGCTGTCTTGTACTAAGAAGTTGAGCTTTGGTGGCCGGTCACTATTGGAGACAGGATACTAGACTAGATGGACTATGGGTCTGATCCAGTATAGCAATTGCCATGTTTCTGTGACCCAGAAATGAGAATCACACAAGATGATATAATTAGGTGACCGTATATCCCGTTTTGGGTGGAACAGTCCCCTTTTTAAGCCCTCTTCCAAGCGTCATGATTTTTTTTGGCAAGACTGGGCATTTGTCCCATTTGCATTTGCCAGCTGATCATCAGTTGGCAAGAACAAACATGACAAATATCCAGTTTTACTAAAAAAGTGGAGCATGCCCCCCTAGTGGGGAGTGGAGGAATGTTTGGTGAGGGGAGGAAGCATCAAAGCCAGTCCCACGGAGCTTGGGCAAGCAGTGACACACACGTGGGATGGAGGGAACCCTAAGGCCAGCTCCGCACTGGGAAAGGGGCTCGAGTAAGCCCCATGTGGTGCCTGTTTTCCCTTTGGGAAATATAGTCACCCTATATATAATCAAAGAAGGAGAACTATTTTTGAAAGCTTCTGTCTGGCATTTATTCCCATTTTTGCAAATGGGGAATCTGAGAAATTAAAGGACTTGTATAAGGCTTCACAGCAAGTTAATGGCAAAGATCCATATGGAGACTTACCTGACTCTTAGCCCCATGCTCAATTTTCTAGAGCTGCTTTGCACCTACAGTCTCATAGAAGGCATCAGACTTAAGCCAACCTTGTCTCTTTCACCACATGCACTGAAAATATCTGGTTTGTTATTTCTCTCTCCTACATCTATTGAATTCTGACGGTTTGCAGAGGGTTGTACATAGGTAAAATTTCACAGGGAGAAGCTGCTGTTTGTGTTGTTGTGTTTGAATAAAGTCACAAGAGGGTCAACATTTTTTTTTCCTTGTGTGTGATTTATTTTTCTACAGACTGGCCTGGCAGGCCCCCTGCAGAAGGAGGAGTTACAGCCTGGAGTGGACGCTGCTAACAGTGCAGCACAACAGTACCAGCGAAGTAAGGAGCCTTTCAGCAGAGATTATAGCTGAGGAATTAGTGGAGGTGATCGGAGGGTTGAGGCAATGTATCATTTATACCCTTGTTGGAACACCAACATCAGCTCTTGTTTCAGAGTAACAGCCGTGTTAGTCTGTATTCGCAAAAAGAAAAGGAGTACTTGTGGCATCTTAGAGACTAACCAATTGGTTAGTCTCTAAGGTGCCACAAGTACTCCTTTTCTATCAGCTCTTGTGATTCTTTGTGACTTCCCTATAAACACCTCAGGGCTAGTGAGAAGCTTGCAGAAAGCCAGCATCTGTGATTCTTTTTAGTCTCCCCAGAATAGCGCTTATAACCCACGTTATAATATAGGTTATTCTTTAACCTATACATTTTTAAAATACACTTAGGAAACTTGTGTCCACTGTAAGTGACTTCTGTACTTGAAAGCTTATACCTATCTCTGGGTCCTGGGTCTGTGAAGGAAATCCTAGTAGCTTATTGGGGCAGAGTCTGAGGTTACCTGGTGATCCTCATTGTGGATGCAATTCTGCTCATATTGAGGCAAAAATTATGGTCTTCCTGCAATTCTGGCCACTTTCTAGTATCAGATTAGGAGACAGTTAATTGCAGGTTTAAACCCAAATTCTGTAACTACTTAATTTGCACTTGCTAAAGAGATGTTGCCCTTCTGAAAATTTACTCTGAAACTAGGTTAGTTTATTTTATTTTCCTGATACAAAGGCTGTTGCTGGAATTGACTGATATAAAATGATATTAAAATTACCTTAGAATAATGGATTTCAAGGCCAGAAGAGACCACTGAGATCAGTCTGACCTCCTGCATAACGTAGGCCAGATAATTTCACCCAGTAATTCACACAGTGGAGTGAATGTATTCTTCCCATCTCGCTTTGATTTCCTCATGGGTGGTATTTCACCTAGGGTGCCCACAGAGCAAAAGTCTTTTCCACACTGGGTGGGTAGAAATGCTCTTATAACAGAGGTACAAGCTTTCTGCCCTTCTAACGTCTTGTGACCTCTTTCCCTTTAATCTCCAGGGCTGGGAGCAGTGGCAAGGATTAATTCTGCAATCCAAATAGGTATTGCAGAGAAGACTGTGGAAGAACTTTTGAATCCAGAGGCTCAGTTACCACAGGTTTATCCATTTGCAGCAGATCTTTACCAGAGGGAGCTGGCCACTCTGCAGCAACAGAGCCCTGATGTAAGTAATAGGTTCTTTCCTGTTCTTGGAAAACAATCTGACGATTCCCAGCAGTATCCATCATAGCTCTTAATTCCAGAGCTCTTAGCTCTTAATTCCACACCTTCTCCAGAATGTAGCTGTTTTGGGAATTCTTGAAAATATGTTGCAGTTCAAAGTTTGTGTAATTTACTATTTAATTGACGAATTAAACAATAATAAATTACCAGGATCACCCAAGAGTTCTGAAGGAATTCAGATATGAAATTGCAGACCTACTAACTGTGGTATGTATTCTAACTCTTAAGTCAGCTGCTGTACTAGGTGACTGGAGGATAGCTAATGTGATGCCAGTTTTTAAAACAGGCTTCGGAGGCAATCCTTGGCAGTTACAGGTCAGTAAGACTAACTTCAGTATCAGACAAATTGGTTGAAATTACAGGAAAGAACAGAATTATCAGACACATCGATGAACACGATATGTTGGGGAAGATTCAACATTACTTTTTTAAAGGGAAATCATGCCTCCCTGATCTATTAGCATTCTTTGAAGGGGTTAACAAACATGTGAACAAGAGTGATCCAGTATACTTGAAGTTTCAGAAAGCCATTGATGTGAACCCTTGCCAAAGGCTCTTAAGCGAAGTAAGCAGTCATGAGATGAGAGGGAAAGACTTCTCATGGATTAGTAACTGGTTAAAACACATGAAACAAAGGGTAAGAATAAACGGTCAGTTTTCAGACTGGAGAGAGGTAAATACTGGGGCCTCCCAAGGATCTGTAGTGGGACCAGTGCTGTTCAACTTACTCATAACTGATCTGGAAAAAGGGGTAAACAGTGAGGTGCCAAAGTTTTACAGATGATACAAAATTACTCAGTATAGTTAAGTCCAAAGCTGACTGTAAGGGATCTCCCAAAACTGGGTGACTGGGCAACAAAATGGCAGATGAAATTCAGTGTTGATAAATGCTAAGTAATGCACATTGGAAAACATAATCCCAACTATACATGTGAAATGATGGGGGTCTAAATTGGTTGTTACTGCTCAAGAAAGAGATCTTGAAGTCACTGTGGATAGTTCTCTGAAAACATCTGTTCTTCTTCGAGTAATGGTCCCTATATGGATTCCAAAGATGGGTGTGCACATGTGCCATGTGCTGGAGCTGGAACAGTTTTGTAGTAGTGTCCATTGATCCACACATGCGTCATCCACGTGTTCGCATCTGAGGCTGTGTGGGTCAATGCCGCTCCAGTTCCCTCTTACCGCTGCATTGTACCGTTGGCTCCACCCCAGCAGACCCATCTTCCAAATCTGGGTGCTTCTCAGAGCCGGATCCCTCCTTTTCACCTACTCAATCTTGCAGCCCGAATCCTAGGGGCTGACCACCCTATCCTCCAGTATATGACCCTACCGCTGAGCTGTGGTCCAGATATCCCCGGGGCCCATATGCTTGGCCCTGCTGGCCTCCTTGGGATCTGTACCAGGACCACAGGGTTTTACCATGGCATCTTACCAGCTGTTGCCTGCCCACTCCATGCCATCCTTTGTTTACAACAAACCAGAGAAAGACATAGTGCCGCTAGGACCACAAGTCCCTCCTGGAGCCTCATCATCACTGGATGAGGTCCTGATCCCACCTTCCCTCTCCGCTCCAGATGACCAGAAACAATACCAAGACCTGCTTCAGCAAGTGGCTGCAGCCTTCAGCCTCACAGTGGAGCAGGTCAAGGACCCACAAAACCAGCTCCTGGATATTCTGCAACTGCCAGGACCCTCCCTGACTGCACTCCCCATCCATGAGGCCATCCTGCAACTGGTGCAGTTGGTCAGGCATACACCAGCTTCCTGTGCCCCTACTCCTATGCATGCAGAGAGGTCACACTTTGTCCCATCTCAGGGCACGGACTTCCTTTTCACCCACTCGCCCCCCAACTTGCTGGTACTTCAAGTGGCACCCAAACGCATTTGCCAACATCATCTCAAGTCGACTCCTTTGAACAGGGTGGCAAAAAAGCTGGACCTTTTGGTAGAAAAGTCTACTGTTCTATGGGACTCCAATTCCATATCGCCAACTACCAGGCCCTGTTGGCAAAATACTACTTTCTCACTTACTCCAGGTTCTGGAAGTCTTCTTGTTTGTCTGGCAGTAGAAGAGCCTGAAGACTTCCAGACGCTGCTGGATGAAAGGAAACTGATCAACAAGGTGAATCTCCAGGCAGCCATGAATGCCTCCGACACCATACCACACTTGCTGGCGACCGGCGTTCTACTCCAATGAGACTCCTGGGTCCAATTCATAGAATCATAGAATATCAGGGTTGGAAAGGACCTCAGGAGGTCATCTAGTCCAACCCTCTTCTCAAAGTAGGACCAATCCCCAATTTTTGCCTCAGATCCCTAAATGGCCCCCTCAAGGATTGAACTCACAACCCTGGGTTTAGCAGGCCAATGCTCAAATCACTGAGCTATCCCTCTCCCAATTTGTCTGGGTTCCCTAAGAAGGTCCATACCACTCTTGAGGACCTCCCCTTTGACAACCAAAAACTTTTTGATGACAGAACAGATGAATCCCTCCAGTCCCTCAAGGATTCTTGCTCCGAATGCTACACAATCCCATATCCTCGCCTTCTGGAGTCACAGCTCACTCCACGGGGGCGCACGCTGCCACATTGGCCTGTCTAAAGGATGTACCCTGGCAGGACATTCGCCGGCCGGCCACGTGGCACTCTGTCCAGATCTTTACTGCTCACTATGCCAGGGCCCCAGCAGTGGAACTGTCCTACAGACTAACTTCTTGTGAGTCCGCGCACCCACTTCCATTGCTTGCTAATCGCCCACATTTGGAATCCATATAGGGACCATCACTCAAAGAAGAAGCGGAAGTTACTTACCTATAACTGGAGGTCCTTTGAGACTTGGATTCCAATATCTGCGCTCCATCCCCTCTGCTGTAGACATTGCTTAGTGGTAAGAGGGATATGGGAGATGCACCCACCCTGCCCCTTATAGCCTCAGATGCGAACAAGTGGACGATGCATGTGCATGTCAAAGGATGCTACTACAAAACTGTTCTGGCATCCAAGTTTAGAATCCAAATAGGGACTGCACATCAAAGAACCTGCAATTACAGGCAAGTAACCTTCTACTCACTGTGCAGCAGCAGTCAAAAAGGTAACCAAATATTAGGAACCATTAGGAAAGGGATAGATAATATGAGAGTAAATATAATGCCACTATATAATTCATGGTACACAGATACCTCAAACAGTGCATGCAGTTCTGGTGGCCTCATCTAAAAAAGATGTATTAGAAATGGAAAATGTACAGAGAAGGGCAACAAAAATGATTAGGGGTATGGAACAGCTTCCATACGAGGAGAGATTAAAAAGACTGGGACTGTTCAACTTTGAAAAGAGACAACAAAGAGGACGTATGATAGAAGTCTATAAAATTATGAATGGTGTGGAGACAGTGAATAAGGAAGTGTTATTTACCTCTTCAGATAACACACGCACCACGGGTCACCCGGTGAAATTAATAGGCAGCAGGTTCAAAACAAACAAAAGGAAGTACTACTTCACACAAAGCACAGTCAACCTGTGGAACTTATTGCCAGGGGATGTTGTGAAGGCTAACAGTATAACTGGGTTCAAGAAAGAATTAGAAAAATTTATAGAGGATAGGTCCATCATTGGCTATTAGCTAAGATGGTTAGGGACACAAACCCTGAGTGTCCCTAAGCCTCTGACTGCCAGATGCTGGGATTGGATGACAGGAGATGGATCACTTGGTGATTGCCTGGTTCTGTTCATTCCTTTTGAAGCATCTGGCATTGGCCACTGTCAGAAGACAGGATACTAGGCTAGATGGACCATTGATATGACCCAATATGATTGTTCTTATGTTTTTAATCTGTAAATCAGGGATATATTCCCTGAGCTGCATGGAGCTGTGTGACAGATTTATGTTACCAATCTGCCTGGGGCGTTAGGTGATCAGGCTGAGGCTGCAGGGTCTTTAAGGGAGGAGGTGAAGGAGCACACCAAGTGACTAAGTTTTAAAGTTTTATTAATAAAATAACAGCGGTGAGTGTGGGGTGCTCCCCATGTCACTCAGAGAAAGGAAGAAAGCTTTAGTGCCCATGCCCTAACCCACTTTCATACTCCCGCACAACCCAAGGCTGACCAAGCTTGGGTATAACGTAACAAGAAGAGGGGGAAGGGTGGATGAGAGTTCTGTCCTGTGCACAGGTCGTTCAGGGTCCGCTGTTGATCTCAGATTTGCTTCAGCTCTCAGGAGGGTTTTAAGTCCTGGGGTTTTTTGGGGGTATCTCGTTCAGGGACCTCTGTCCCTTGTGCTCTTTGTACCAGTCTAAACTGGCCTTCCGTGGGTTCCTTAGCATTCCCAAAACACTCTGGCTTCAGGGACGTGAAAGCTGTTGTTTTCCCCCTCGCTGGTCTTTACTGTCTCACTAGTTTTTGCAGACCCTGCAGTTCTGTTCAGCTGAATTCTTCTTTTTTACGGGCTGGTCGGGGTTGGAATTTAGGCCCCCGTCTTTCTTGGCAAGCAGCCGAGAGTTGGTTGTGTGCTGTGGCCTTGGGCTGGAGTCAGCGTCTTATCTTCGGACCTAGCTGGAGCGTCGAGTTAACCCATTCTTCTCCCTTCCTTCCCCTTCGGCCTCTCGCAACCTGCAAAGGAAGTTTTTTACTCCACACTTACACCTTTAACCCTTCCCAAAATGCTTTGCGATGTCTGCCACAGCATTAGCAACATACAATGCTGATTTGCCTCCTCAGGGGACCCCCTGAGGGAGGGGGCATTGGGTTGTGACAACTGTGGATTCTAATTGTTTACATCACTTGCTCTGCCTACTTGGTTTCACTTGTGATACTCTTACTCTTCCTTGCATCACATACTTTTCCCTGTAGTTTACGATTGCTGTTGTCTCCTCGTCTTCCTCGTTTACTCACTCACTGCAGTTACTGTAACTACTGCCACATTCTGTCCACCTCACAGGGCATAAATTTGTGAAGGATGTGTGATCCTCATTGTCCTCTTTGCATGCAGGGTAACCTCACCCACCCAGAGCTGTCAGTTGCGGTGGAGATGCTGTCATCTGTGGCTCTGATTAACAGGGCTTTGGATTCAGGGGATGTGAACACAATTTGGAAACAGCTGAGCAGTCCAGTCACAGGGCTCACTAACATTGAAGATGAGAACTCCCAGAGGTGGGTACATGTGACAAATGGATGTGGCCTCTCTCAGTGCCCCCAGTATTCCCTATTATTATTATTTTTTTATTCTCCTGACGTTTCATTTTTTTCTTTTACCCTTTAATGTTATCTTTCCAAATTGTTAATCATCACATTTAGTCGCTGATGCCTCTTGTGCCTGGTCCCACGAGCTTGCTCTCTTGCACACTGTCTCTTATGCCACCCCTTCATATTAGTCCTGCTCTTGTACAGTCTCTTGAAGTCTCTTCCCAGACTTCACATTAGTGCTGTATTCAGGTATGCTGTTGCTGATGCCACCCCACCCCCCTTCACATGAAGTCCATGCTCAGTCTTTACGATGGTCTTGGACTTGCTGTCTTGCATGCTGTCTCTGTGGCACCCTGCCAGTTGCATTGATCTGGGCTCTTGTAAGCTGCCTTTGGTATGTCTCCCCCTTCCCTTTTTGCATTTGTTCCAGGTTCATCCTGCATGCTGTCTCTGTCGCCACTTCCCTTGCATGTTAGTTCCGCACACTGTCATTGGGCTCACGTGCTAAATTGCCGCCTTAGGCCCACATGATGTGTCTTATTGTTTCTGTTGTGTATGGCAGATACATCGATGATTTGATGAAGCTGAAAGCTCAGGCACATACAGAAGGGAATGAGTTTATCACATGGAATGATATCCAGTCATGTGTGGACCGTGTGAACATAGTGGTCCATGAGGAGCACGAGAGTAAGTGCTTGCACTTCATTCCTACTAGAGTGACCTGGATTCTAAGAAATGCCAAAACCAGATTCACATTCACTGGGATGGGGGTAGCACTGTTAACAAGGAGATAGCTGAAGGTCTAGCTGGCACATGGTGAGAGACCTTGGCAGTTGGTGTCTTTCTAGCATTAGGAGATGCCTATATGGTGTACATAAAAAGAGCTCATTTTATCTGTGAGTAAATTCAGTGCTCTGTGATGATGAAATGTTAGCAGCAGCACTGCTGACGAAGAGAGTAAGTATAGGCATTTCTGTATACCATAGTGTCAAATTCAACATCTTTACCTAGATAGACAACGTCCTGGGACCAGACTCTGCAATGTGATGGGCTGTGAGCATAGGTTTACCTTTCAGTCTCTGATCCAGTCTTGTTGTAGGCCTGTTCAATCTGTCTTCACTTCTTGGTGCAAGCACTAGACTTGCTAAATAGGTTCTCATGTTCTTAGGAAAATTGACAGGGGGCAGAGGGAAGCTGAAATGCATTGAAGCCTAAGTTCCCACTCTGGTAATTCTTTGTTAATAGCACTAGTTAGAGCCAGTCAGACTGTCAAAACGGACTCATTTACATCTCTGTTGAAGACATTCAGTCCTGACTTGCAGCCTGTGACGGGGCATGCGTACCTCACACTGGGCCTGAAGGGATTAAACTCACACTATGGGTGGAGGAAGTCCCGCCCCTCAGACTGTAGGCGGCATGCTCCAAATGATATGCTAGTATAAAAGGGAGCAGCCTGACTCAGTCTGGGCTGGCTGCCGGAGAGGAAAGACCTTTGGTGGAGGCTTCCCCTGAAGAGCTATCACAGCCCTTCCCTGTGTGAGCCGGAGATCTGTGGCCATCGAAGTCCAAGGGAGTTATCTGCCCAGAGGAGCCCAGAGACCCCGATGCCCCATGGACAGCAGCTTCAGGAAGTGCAGTAGGAAGTGACCCAGGGAGGGTGAGAGAGAGTGGTATCTCCCACCTGTGTCAGAGGTCAGTATCTTTTGGTGGGATTCCCCGCTGACCTAGTGGTGGCCCACTCCGCCCTGTTAGGGTCCTGGGTCAGGGTCCGGTGGAGCTGGGTCACTGGTAGGAGTATAGGCACAGATGTGGTGTAGTGAATGCTGTGCTGTAGATTGATACTTTAGACACACATTTTCAAAAATATTCACTGATGGGCGAGTTGGTACCCATTTTGAGAGAGACAGGACCTGATTTGCAAGGGATTAAGCACACCCACTGTTATCAACTAAAGTTGTAAATTTTGCATGCTGAACACCTCTGAAAATTAGGCCTGAGATGTCTAAAGTTGGGCAACCAGTTATTTTTCAAGTGCTTGCTCGTGTCCATTCCATGTCAGGTGTATGTGCTCACCACATGCACTGGTGCCAGAAGTTTTCCCCCAGTGGTATCTGTAGGGCTGACTCTGGCGCCCTCTGCAGCGGCGCGCGTATGCACCAGCATAAGAGGCGCCGCCCCCTCCCCCTTTCAGTTCCTTATTACCACCAGTGATGGTGCTGGAACGTCTCCTTGCTTCAGCAAGCAATCATACTAGCGATTCTTCTAACTGTTTAGTGTATATAGTTAGAATATTTGTAGTTTTGGTAGTTAGTTAGTTAAAGCACTACTTAATTGTAGTGAGGCAGTACCCTACGGACTTTACCCACGGATGGGGCATGCCTCGATCCTCAAGCCTTGTGACCGATATAAGAAGCCCATGCCAATTAGTGACCCCCATCAAAGCTGTTTGAAGTTCTTAAAGGTGTCCCACGTACGCCACTAGTAGCATATCTCCAAGAGCTTCAAACTGCGTACAAAGGAGTAGGACATTAGACTCAGGGCTCTCCTCATGGAGTCAGCCCTCGCTCCGGCCTCCGAGCCAGCCCATTCCGACTTGGCATTGGTGAGAAGCGCCCCTCTGGTGCCGGCCTCCTCCTGGCACTGGTCTCCATCCCTGGTGCCATCCAAGAGGCATAAGCATGGGAGAGGCTGCTCCCCGGTGTCTTGCAAGGGGAAAGTTATAGGTGAACAAGAACTTGCGAGAGATGCCTTGTCTTTCCCAGAGCATGGCCAGGCAGCAGACTCACTAGATAAGCTTGCAAGCCCACTTTAGGATCTGCCTCTTGCCCTGTGTAGTGGCAGGGGCGCCTGTAACCTCACAGTGCCCACTACACTTAAGGCCTTTCAAGTGGCCAAGGACATTCTGACAGATTCCCGTGCAGAAAAGTCCCGGGAACTCCTGCCCCCAATGGCAATCCCGGCTAGGAGTAGCCTGCATTGGGATCTGTGAGCAATCCCCATCTCTGTTGCACCACTCCCCGGCACCATCCCAGTCACCAGGTTAATGAGGTGATCCTCAGAGCCATGTTACCAGCCAGTGGAGTCTTGTGGCCGTTCCATGAGTTCCAGGCACCGGTCCCCGGGATCCTCGACAACGGTTCTTGGACACCTGGCACCACTCACCGGATTGTCACCACCGATCCCTTGAGGTGCAAGCCCGGTCCCAGGACACCGGGCATCAGTTTCCAGACTGTCACCACTGCTCTCCACCCCGGTGCCGATCCCCAGAACTCCAGCGCCAGTCCCCGAGAACTCGATGGCGATCCCTGGAACCTCAATGCCAGTCAACAGATCCTAGGTGCTGGTCTTGCAATCCCAGTCACCAGAGCCTCAGTACCGATCCGCGGACTCAGATTGCTGATCCCCAGATTAACGCTGCTGGTCACCCAACCACTGTTGCTGGTTCCCAGCCTCCTGACACTGCTCTACAGAAAGCTGGCACCGTTTTCCACAGGTAGTGAAGCTGTGGCTCTGCACTGGTCACCAGGAGGGGACCCTTCCTCCTCGGACTCTGAGGGTGAGGAAGTTGTGGTACCCAGAAACCGGGCGTACCCTGCAGTGCCAGCGGGAGTTCCAGGGGGCCCACCAGCAGGTGCATGGCTTCAAGGACAGTGGGCAGTTCTCTGGCAGTTCTGGAACCCATGGAGGTTTCCCTCTGCCCCAGAATCCCACATGCAGTGCTCAGTCTCTGGGGCTTCAGAGAGACACTCAGCCACTATATCCTGCCTGCCACCCATCTCAGACAAGGGATCGCTCCCAAGCTCCTCAGCCACCCCAGGACAAGGCCCACCCAGCAAGGGACATGGAGACGGTTCCTCCCCCAGCCCTGGCTTCTTCCTCCTCATCACCTGATGAGGCAGTAGCAGGGCTGTCACATGCAGTGCCACATGATGACTTTATGGCTCACCAAGAGTTTCTTAAGCATGTGGCAGCAAACCTTGGCCTTGAAGCTGAGGAGTTGATGGAGCCCTCCAACACCTTGTTTGACATTTTGGCCGCAGCAACCCCAGCGAGGGTTAGAATCATAGAATATCAGGGTTGGAAGGGACCTCAGGAGGTAATCTAGTCCAACCCCCTGCTCAAAGCAGGAACAATACCCAATTAAATCATCCCAGCCAGGGCTTTGTCAAGCCTGACCTTAAAAACCTCTAAGGAAGGAGATTCCACCACCTCCCTAGGTAACACATTCCAGTGCTTCACCACCCTCCTAGTGAAAAAGTTTTCCTTAATATCCAACCTAAACCTCCCCCACTGCAACTTGAGACCATTACTCCTTGTTCTTTCATCTGCTACCACTGAGAACAGTCTAGATCCATCCTCTTCGGAACCCCCTTTCAGGTAGTTGAAAGCAGCTATCAAATCCCCCCTCATTCTTCTCTTCCGCAGACTAAACAATCCCAGTTCCCGCAGCCTCTCCTCATAACTCATGTGTTCCAGTCCCCTAATCATTTTTGTTGCCCTCCTCTGGACGCTTTCCAGTTTTTCCACATCCTTCTTGTAGTGTGGGGCCCAAAACTGGACACAGTACTCCAGATGAGGCCTCACCAATGTAGAACAGAGGGGAACTAATCACATCCCTCGATATGCTGGCAATGCCCCTACGTATACATCCCAAAACGCCATTGGCCTTCTTGGCAACAAGGGCACACTGTTGACTCATATCCAGCTTCTCGTCCACTGTAACCCCTAGGTCCTTTTCTGCAGAACTGCTTCCTAGCCATTCTGACCCTAGTCTGTAGGGGTGCATGGGATTCTTCCGTCCTAAGTGCAGGACTCTGCACTTGTCCTTGTTGAACCTCATCAGATTTCTTTTGGCGCAATCCTCCAATTTGTCTAGATCCCTCTGTATCCTATCCCTACCCTCCAGCGTATCTACCACTCCTCCCAGTTTAGTGTCCTCTGCAAACTAGCTGAGGGTGCAATCCACGCCATCCTCCAGATCATTAATGAAGATACTGAACAAAACTGGCCCGAGGACCGACACTTGGGGCACTCCACTTGATACCGGCTGCCAACTGCACATGGAGCCATTGATCACTACCCATTGAGCCTGACAATCTAGCCAGCTTTCTATCCACCTTATAGTCCATTCCTCCAGCCCATATGTCTTTAACTTGCTGGCAAGAATACCAGAGAGAGACCGTGTCAGAAGCTTTGCTAAAGTCAAGGAACAACACGTCCACTGCTTTCCCCTCATCCACAGATCCAATTATCTCATCATAGAAGGCAATTAGATTAGTCAGGCATGACTTGCCCTTGGTGAATCCATGCTGACTGTTCCTGATCACTTTCCTCTCCTCTAAGTGCTTCAGAATTGATTCCTTGAGGTCCTGCTCCATGATTTTTCCAGGGACTGAGGCGAGGCTGACTGGCCTGTAGTTCCCAGGATCCTCCTTCCCTTTTTTAAAGATGGGGACTACATTAGCCTCTTTCCAGTCGTCCGGGACCTTCCCTGATCACCATGAGTTTTCAAAGATAATGGCCAATGGCTCTGCAATCACATCTGCCAACTCCTTTAGCACTCTTGGATGCAGCGCATCCGGCCCCATGGACTTGTGTTTGTCCAGCTTTTCTAAATAGTCCCAAACCACTTCTTTTTCCACAGAGGGCTGGTCGCCTCCTCCCCATGCTGTGCTGTCCAGTGTAGT